TCTGGTGACAACTCTATACCTCTATAAATTTATCAGACACCAATGAATTGTACATTTAAAATGGGGATATTTCATATGAATTACTATATATTTCTTAATATTACTGTTAATTAAAAAAAAAGGATGAGCAGGAATCTTGCAGATAAAGAAATATGGGTGGGAGAGAAAACAGAGGCACTGAATATCCAGCCCTAATTCCAGCCGCTCCACGGCCCATCCCTCTTCCAGGCATCAGGTCAAAAGATGCTTCTGCAGAAGTCCCTTTGGCCCTAGCTGGGGACAGAAGTTTCCCTGCTGACACCAGAGCATCAGGGCTTGTTGATGATCTCTCCAGACCCCAGCCCTAACCCTTAACTCAGGGCTGGCAGCAGAGTCCAACGTTCACTGATGTTCACTGAGCAAGAGAACAACCTGGCGTGGGGAGGGGCGAGGGAGCAAGATGATGAAATCTGTGTTCTGAGCAGCAAACTGGCTGCAATGGAGGAACCAGATGCCAGACTCCAGGATTTGCTGCATGGGAAGAGAGGCTCGGGGCTGGGAAGGAGAGACCAGGGCGACAGGGAGCACTGACCTGGTCAGGCAGGTGCATTGAGGGAGGGGAAAGAGCCCCTAAACTCTCCTGAGACGTAGAGCTCTGACAGACGAGGAGGAGGCCCTGTGGTCGTATCGGGTACAAGATGCAGTTTCCACGGGAGAGGGGAGTCCTGCTCGGCCGCACTGGACACCATCCTGGGGGACAGGGCTGGGGCCGCAGCGCACACAGAGAACACAGGCTGTGTTGCCTGCCGGCGCAGACGTGAGCACGGTAGCTCAGCTGGGGGACAGGGACACGTGAAGGAGACTGCTCTAAAGACACACTTGGTATCGTGCCTGTCCCAGGGATTCTTCACCAGCTGAAGGGGACAGGGAGCAGGGAAAGATATCGAGGACACAGAGCACTAATGTGAAATCAGAGAAGCCCTGTGAGGGGAACCACGCACCTCCAAAGCCCTCCTCCCTCCTTCAGGACTCTGCCCCCCTAACCACGGAGTATTGAACAATCTTGAGTTTTCTTAGTCAAAGGCCAGAGGCCCATCACTGCTGCTGGGGAAGTGTGCTCTTCTCTCCAGGCAGGTGGGGCTGAGCCGGCACCTCCACCCCCAGGCTCCTGGCTTCCTGGTTGTACTTCAAGCACTGAAAGAAACAAATTCAGTCCCCAGAAAACACAGCCACTGGATTAGCAAGCAGGGGGTGTAGTACGAAAAGGAAAAACAGTCCCAAGAAGACCCCCCCCCACCATGCTGGAGGGGAGGGCAGCAACGCAGGTCTCCGGAAGGGTGTCTTGAGTTAGTCATGCCTCATAAATACAGAGATGTGAAGCTCTGCCTCTGAAATTCAATTTTACTTGAAACGACATGGCCAAGGTAGGGCTCTCTAAAGGATTTACTGTGCTTTTCAGATGATTAAAAAAAAAATTCTTTAGACTTATACCTTGCTCATCAGCACGGAAGAAATGTTCCACCTGTCAAACTATTGATTACCTGGAGTTATATTACAACCTGCGCCTCTAGAGCCCCACCAATTGGGGAGGGGGTGGAAAGTGATTTGAAAGAAGAAACATTCCCCCCATAGGACAAGTGGCACTAAGAAAGCTCATAAGCCCATCTCAGTAAATCTCCATAAGCAATTACCCTCCGGCAACCCCAGATTAGAAACCCAACCCAAAGGGAACAGAACCAGAGCTACATGAGATTCTCAGCTGCGGCCTTACATGGCATGAAAACAACAAAGAAACCTAATGAGACTGTGAGAGAAGGGGAACCCCAAACTACAGCATGATTACAATCTACAAGCATCTGCTCATCTAACTCCAAATGTCCCTTCCCTCCCAGGGCACAATGACATCAGGCACTGACTAGCAAAACACACCAAGTCCCCCATCAAGTCTGGCGGGAATTCATCAATTGAAAGTACCTTCCCACAGCACACAGGCAGTTTAGGTCCAAATCCTAATACAAACCTGATCCCACTGGAGATAAAGGTTGAGCTGCCAAGTAGCTTAATCATTGGTACCAAATAAACCCTGGGGCTGCCTGTTAGCAGCCTAGATTATCACTGGCTCATGATCGAACCTGGTACGTCATCATTTATGAGTCGCAATATGAGGTCCTGGAGTAAGTTTGGGAGAAAGACACATTGAGTATGGAGAGAAAACTGCATTTTGCAGGTGCTCAGCATGGTGCTAGAGACAGAACTGGCCCCAGGCAGTCAGCGGGGTACTGACTGTGAATGACAAGCCCTGGAAATGTGCATGGAGAACTCTGAAGGCAGGTGTTGGGACCACCTGGCCAAAGGAAACTCCTAGCAGTTCCAGGTAGGGATGGAGCTAGGTGAGCCCACTCCTCCTATGACAGCTTAGATTTCTAATTCTGCACAGCCCTGTGGCCAGAAAAGAGGGCTGAGATAAACTCTGAAGCAATTTACTTCAGTTATTCTATTTCTCTTCAAATCTCTCTCTAGGAGAGCTCTTTGGAAGTGAATGGGTCCTGGACTGGAGTTGGGGCAAATCTCTCTTCTTCTGGGGTTTTTCGCTTGATTTTGGCTTCTCCACAGGCCCGATAGCCTTCCATAAATCTGGTTCCCAAAACCATGACTCCCAAACTGCTGTGGCACATTGACAGCTACATCTTTAAAATACATTAAAGTGGCACCCAAAGACAGCAGGAAAACCAAAAGGTGACGCCAAGTCCTAAGACCAGGGAGAGACAGAGCCCCTGGGCCTTCCCTCTGGCACGTTATCCAATGAAACCTCAAGAGCGCAGCAATTACAGGCCCTTTCAAAAGTGAAACAGAAATAGATCTAGTGCCAAAACACCGGACTGCTTGAGACAAAGGGCTGGCTTTAACTAGGAAAACAAAACAAAACAAAACAGCCTTTTGGTCTGTCTTCCGAGCTGAGAAAGCCAGATTGATTTTTTTAAAAAATCATTATTGAATCTGATTATGGGGAAAAAGAGTAGGATTCAGATCAAAAGCCCTTTTCTCTTCTAGGATATTATAAAATCATTAGATGAAACAGAAAAAGGGTTGCATTCTAAGTGAACCCCTGACACCAAATCAGGATGAAAAATCAGCTTACAGCCACCAGGCCCAAGACCTCCCCATCATAGCCTTGGCTGGAGGCAAATCCAATAACCCAAACTGAGGTTTCTGCTCTGGTGTCACAGAAGCCTGCAAAGGATGCCAGGAGAGCACTAAGGGGGAGCACCTGGGGCTCAGGAAACACATCTCCACCAAAGGCAGCCAGGCCCAGTATCCCTGCCCCAACCCACTTCTCTCCAGTGCTCCATTTTGAGAGCCTGGGGCACCAACAAGATCTGTTTGTTGCTCCCTTGCTTAAAGGTTGTTTTCACACTGGAGAGAGTCCTGAGAGCAAGAAACCAAGGCTGTGAAGGAAGGAACCACTGGCTGGGGCAGAAGGTGGCAGGCACTGCAGCCCACAGATGCCTTGCTGGCTCTGAGCCAGTGTTCAGGTGAGGTTAGAGGGGTGCGGCCCAGGACTGAATCCCAGGCAGAGCAGTGTGCATAGACAGTGCAGTTCAATGTCTATTTCAAAACTAAATATTTTTAAAATTAAGATGTGAGACTAGAAGGAAGGCTCTCATACCCACTGGGGCCTCAGGCAAGGGAGCTGGAACTAGAGGAGTTAGGGGTGAGACTGGAAGGTGTCCATTGTGAGGCCCGCAGCAGGACCTTCCTGGCAAACATCTTCCCCAGGATGGAATTGATATTGGCCTTTTAAAAAGGAAGTGGGGGTGGCCTTCGGTGTGACCAGGCCAGGCAGAATGCGAGAACCGCGTCAGTAGGGAGCGCCACTTGGCTCTCTGATTCCACGGGCTATATCCCCCTGGAACTAGGCACTTGTTGAACAAAACGGCTCCCGAGTCCGCAACCGCTGCCTTCCGGCCAGGAGAGGGACCCCAGCACCGGCGCGGGAGCCTCCGGGGCTGGAGAAGAGCCCGCGCCCGTCGCTGCGCGCTCCCGCGCACCCGGAGGCGGCGCCCCACCGCCCCGGAGGTGCGGCGAGAAGGCAGCGCACCCAGCAGCCTAAACTTTCTCGAATCTCCCTGCTTGGTTGTTAAGTGAGGGCCGAGAGAGAGGCACAAACCACCGCAGGAGGAGAAATATAAGCACCCCACCCATAATAAAGCCAAATCAAATATTAAAAAACGCAAGCTGCTAATCCCATCAACGCAGCACCTACTACGTGCCAGGTACTGGGACGAGAGCTACCTTTAGTGCGTTCCCATTCGAACTGTCACGACAGCCCCTGAGGGAGGAGCTGTTCCCATTTAAAAGAACGGCAAACGGAGACCCAAGAAGGTGGTGTGTCGGGCTGAGGTCGCAGTGCGGGTCACCAGGCCAGAGCTCGGCGGTCTCCCCCACGCCCCGCTCACCGTCCCGGAGGAGGGAGCTGACCGCAGCCGCTCGGGCCCCCACCCTCGTCGAAGCTCACAGGCTACCCACGTGGGCCGCTCGGACCAGCCTCCGGGCGGGGCTAGCCCCGCTGCCCAAGAGGCCAGAGCTCGCCCCGTCGGGTCCCAGCCTTCCCCCAGGCTTCTAAGCTCCGCACTGCGCCGACCGGCGGGGACCAGGGACTCGGCTCTCCGGGCCACACCGCCCACGCCCACCCCGCCACCCCCGCTCTGCGCACACACGACACCCGCCTGGCACCGGTCCCCACCAGCAACTGCGCCCCGACACACAATTCCACAAACGCAATTCAAAATGTTCATCCCAAGAACACACAGGGATCCCCACGAGGACACGCCATTCCGGGGACACGCCACGACTCGCGGTCACCCAAACTCCACCACGCAGAGAAGCACAGGCACCCCAACACACGCACACACACACACGCACACGCACACACACACTCACGCACGCTGAGAGACCGATCGCAGCTCACGCCAGTGCACACGACTGCCCTCCCGCAGTCCCGCAGCCCGCCCCTGCCCTACCGGCTCCGGTGCAGGACGCGGTCCGCTGGCTTCTCGAGCCCAAGTTGCGCCGGTGGCGGTGGCGGCGGGCGCGGGCCCCTGCCCCGGACCAGCGCGGAGACCCGAGGGGTAGCTAAACGCGCGGGCTTCCGTGAGCCCGCAGCCGCCGCGCGGGCCCTGCGCGCATCGCCGCCGAGAAAGACAAAAGGAAGCCGGCGGCCGAGGGAGGGAGCGAGGGGTTGGCGCCCGCAGGTCCGCCGGTCATCCGCCTGCCGCCGCCGCGGCCCGCCTGCCAGCCCGGGAAGGAAGGGACGCGAAGGCGGGACCCGGAGGCGGGGGCCGGGGCGGGGCGCGCGGCCGGGGGCGGGCACTCAAGTTTCCTGCGAACCCGCCCCCGCTTCGACCACGCCCCCGAACCAGCTCCGCCCACCGGACCGCGGCCCGGCCACGCCCCGTCCGTGGCCACGCCCCCCAGTGGACCTCGAGCTGCAGACCTTGGGCTGGGGGCCTGCACCCTGACCACCCTTGCCACTCGCTACTCCTCAGTCCTCTCTCGGAGCAACCGAGGCGCTGCCAGGCCTCAGCCCCACGAGGAATTTGGGGCAGGGATGGAGCTGAGCGCCAGTCCCGCCTCCCTAACCCTTGGCCTCTGGCCTGCGGTGGAGGGAGAAACCGAGAGGCGGCGCCCGGGAGGAGCGGGCCCTGAGCCCGCGCCCCCCCACCGCCCCCGCAGTCCTCAGCAGGAAGTGCGGCCCGGGTGCCTGGGAAGGGGAAGAGGCCTGAGTCGCCCCAGGCACCCTAGCACTCGATTGGACCGCCCGCGGGGCTCCTCTTCCCCTCCACCCCCGTCCGGTTCGCAGCTATCGCCCACCTTCCTGGGCCTGGTTCTGGGAGAGCCCAGCCAGGAGGCTGGAGACCTGGGTTGAGGTTCTGGTTACCCCTGCCAACTCATTTGGCCATGTTGACAAGTCCCTTAGACTCCCTTAGCCTCGGTTTCCCCACCTATAAGATGGGCGTCGGGGAGGGGTGAATTTCTTTGGATCCTTCCTTCCCTGTCATTATGTGGGTCTTCGGTGTATTTGCTCAGAAAGGGATTTGATTGACATCTCTTGCCAGGAAAGAGTGGACCCCTGGATCTCAGAGAGAGGCGGACTGCTCTTCCCCAACTTCCTACATACCCCTGCCGATTGCACCTGCCAAGACCACCCACCCCAAACATCCCAGAAGACAGGTAACCACAGAAACAGCCATAAATGTGGAGCTGGGCGATCCTGTTATGCTGAGACAAAACGGTCTCTCTGGCGTCTCTAGGGAAAAACTCAAATCCCTCCTTCAAATCCTCCTCCACAAAAAAAACACCGCGAGTGAACTCCTACTACCCGGGGAGCTGAGGATGAAAGGGTGGCAGAGCTATTTGAGGTGGGGGTTGGCCCCGGGGGCTTCCAGACTCTTCTATCTCCCTTGTCTATATGGGCACAATGGCAAAACCAGACCCAGTGGCATTTAGTCTCCAAGCCAGATCTCCTGTGAGGAGTAAAAGAAATGATGACTGTGGGGTTAGTAGTAGCCAGCGGTAGTGGTGTTGTGGAGCAAGCTCTAGTCCCCTGGGGTGCCTTGCCTCCCTTCCAAGGTCATTCTGTAACTTCCTATAGCATGTCCATCCAGAGGGTAGGTAGGGTTCCAGGAGAGGGGCCTTCAGACACCCAGCCCCTCAGCCAGGTGACTGCAGCAGAGGGTAGGTGGGGATTGTGTCAGCTGTGGTAGGTTATTTTGGGCTGCCGGCCCCAGTCCTCACCCAGGTTATAGTTCAACCCGAAAGGGGAAGGCTCCATGCAGACATTGGGGAACAGCATACTCCCTCAGGGCTTCAGAGGCCACCCCTGTTCCTCTACTTCCAGTAAGAGAGGAAAGAGCACCAGGGTGTCCAAAGGGATTGATTAGGAGAAGGCCTGGAAGTAGCTCCTGTCATTTGTGCCTGCATTCACTGACCATTCATGGTCCCACCTAGATTCAGGGAGCCCTGGGAGTTATGATCTTCCTCAATACCCAGCTCAGTTTGATGAGCATGCAGCAGTATCCTGCCAGAGAAATTGAGCACACTTCTCCCAGGCACAGGGCAACATGACTACATATGCACCATACATATTGTCCTTAATAATTGTCCTCAATGCTGCGACCACCAGCAAAATCAACATATTGGGGAGAGGGCCACATAGGCTCATAGAAGGATGAATTAAAGCCAGACTCTGTCTTTGTGCTGGGCCTATGCAGGCACTAGAAGAAATACTGTAGGTTTGTTTTTTTGTTTGTTTGTTTTTTTTTAATCAGTTGTGGTACTTGAATGAACTTGAGTGTGTATCCTACTAAGGAGATTCTTTCGGAGGAGTGTGGCTGCAGCTCATACATCCTGCCCCAGAATGTTTGAGGAAGTAGAAAGCCAGCTTGTTTCCAGGTCCTCTTTGGATTCCATCACGTAGTTTTATTTGTAATTAGAGTGAAGAAATGTGGCTGCCAAGATTGGAGTAGGCGCCACTCACTCCTACCAGAAGCACCAGTTCTGTTGCCCACCTTCTCCTGACCCCAGAAGCTCACAAGCAGAGGAAATGACCAGGAAATTCCCAGAAGTATCCTCAGTGAGAAACCAAGAGGTACCTGAAAAGGGGAAAGTTGGGGTTATCATGATCTGCCAGGCAGTGGAATCGCTAGATGCTACCTCGAATCATTAGCTGGATCAGGGAAATTGGATCATCAGGTCAATTTGTTTATCCCTGGGGCACGCCATGTGCGTGGCTGCGCCTGGTATAGATGCTGTGGCCGGTGGCTTATCCCAGCAGTGTGACTCAGAGGCAGGTTCTGAATGTACCCACTGGTCCACTTTTTTCCCTCCACAGTACTAGGAACTGAACTACTGAGCTACATCCCAAGCCCTTTTAATTTTTTTTTTCCCAAGATATGGCTGGTCTCAAATTTGTAATCCCTCTGCCTCAACCACCCAAGTAGCTGGACCGCTGGTGCCCTTTATCCTTGCAAACTCCTGAGGGTCAAGATAAACTAAAGCTATGAACTGAAATGTGCCCCTTCCCAATTTAATACGTGGGCATACTAACCCCTAGCACAACTGTATCTGGAGACGGGGCTTTAGGAGGCTCATTTGGTCAGCTTTGTGTTGCTAAAGCAAATGCCTGAGATAATCAACTTATAAAGGGAAAAGGTTTACTTTGGCTCACAAGTTTACAGGTTCCAGTCTGTGACCAGTTGGCCTGCCTGCTTGGGGTCTAGGGAGAGGCAGCACGTCATGACAGGAGACCAGGAGACCATGGCAGAACAGGACCTGGCTAGGAAGCAGAAAAACGTGAGGAGGGAAAGGGTTCCGAGGGTTACGCAATCCCCTTCAGGGGCACACTCCCTGTTACCTACAGACCTCCCACTTGGCCCCCCATCTTTGAAGGATCTACCAACTTTTACCAGCACCACTTGTGATGGGATGAAGCCTTTAACGCATAGGGTCTCTGGGAGACAATCAAGATTCAAGACGCTGGGCATGGTGACTCACACCTGTAATCCCAGTGACTCAGGAGGCTGAGGCAGGAGGATCCCTCCAAGTTCAAGGCCAGCCTCATCAATTTAACAAGGCCCTAAGGAACCTGGCCAGACTCTGTCTCAAAATAAAAATAAAAAGGGCTGGGGGTGTGGCTTCGTGGTTCAGTGCCCCTGGGTTCAATCCCTGGTTCAAAAAAAAAAAAAAAAAACCAAGCAAATGAGAACAAGAGGTAATTAAGGTTAAATGAGTAATAAGGGTAGGCTCCTAACCCCATGGGATTGGTGGTCTTTGAAGAGAAGAGAGAAATCTGCCCCTCTCTAGGCACATGCATGGGTACCAGGGACAGGTTGTAGAGGGACACAGCAAGAATGTGGCAAACCAGGATGTGAGCCCTTCCCAGAGACTGAACCAGACAGCACCTCCGACTTTCCGTAACTGTGAGAACTGCACTCCTCTCAGTCAATGGTAATTTGTCATGGCAACCTGAGCATGTGACACAAGACCCTTTCTTCTATTTTCCACGCTGTCTGTCTGACCACCCCTCCCTATCTCAAGGATGGGGGCCCAGGACCCTGCCCTCCAGGACCACAGCTTCCAGAGGCTGGTTTGTTCCCTGGGCAGCTCTTTGCCTTCTCATCCCTGTGTTTCTGGCCCCTCCGCCCACCTTGGGTGACAGTGTGAGAGGAGCAGCGCTTGGCACCTGGAACCCTGTAGCTGGGCTCTTCTCTTATCGCCATTGGCAGAGACACAGTTCAAGAAGTGACATTGGAGGTGCTGGGGGAAATGAGCAGGATTTCAGGTTGGACAGACCTGAACTCCCAGACTCTTCTGTAAAGTGGAAACCCCACCAGCCTTGCAGGGTGGTCGAGAGGCTTAAACAAACAAACGAATCCTTCCTCCTTCCTTCACTTCTCCCTCTCCCCTCTCTCCTCTTTAGAGAGCCTGGAGTGTTCTCTTTAGTAACCCTGATTGAGTCATAATTCAGTGTTTCCAAAGTTGTGGATATTAATGGCTCTTTTGCATTAAAAGGGTCAGTACATGTGGTCTTAATAAATGGCAGATTTATTCCTCCCATCGGCCTCATGTTCTCTTCCTCCTCCTCCCCATCACCATCAGAAGCTGACTGACCCCTCCCCACTTGTGCAGAAGGTCATTCCAGCAGGTCAGTCAGGAGGCCTGGGTGCTGGTGTCACCTAAACAAGACACCTCGCCTCTCTGAGCTCATTCCTCGGGAGTGCTCTGCCATCAGATGACTGAGGGAGGGAGGTCAGGTGCACCAAGGGAGGGGAAAATGGCTTTGTAAACTGTAAAGTGCACTTGAGTGACTGCGAACGTTGATCTTGAAGCAGTCACTCCCCAGAGTGGCCAAGTCGGGATGAATGTCTGTCTCTTGCCAGTTCACACAGCCGGGTGGACGAGGGTGTACAGGCCCCAGCTGTTGGTTGCCCCAAGTCAGCAGCCCACCAGGCACCCCATGCAGGAGGGGGAAAAAGCCCCCCACCTGGAACTCTGCACAGCACCCTGACAGCTTGCCCACATCAGTGAAAAATAAGAGGTGCAGTCCAGGGTCTGCTTGCCGGCAAATCACTCAGGCTAAAGCCTAAAACCCAAAGCC